AGAGAGCTTAAGAATAAGTCGGCGAAAAAGTTGTTTCGCTCTTGGTCGGTTCATCGGATAGGGAAAATATGAGATCTAAGGAAAACTAGATGCAATTGTACATCTATTTAACACGCATAAAATCACAAGATCTTTTACTTGTTTCTCGGGAAGAAGTCCAAGTTCGAGAACGTGAAATCCGTCATCGTATTAATAAAAAATTAATAAAAAATGGATATAAAAAAGAATTTTAATAAATTCTTTTTATCTATTTTTTGTTAAGGCAAAGAATATTTTTGCGAGCCGATTATCTTTTACAATCTTTTTATAAGCTGTATAGAAAAATTCTTAATATTATGTCCAGCCACTATATGTATTAAGATTTCAATAGCATTCCATATGACGTTCAACTTTTTGGTACAATTATATTAATAAGAATTTATTATCAACTTTTCACAAAATTATACAAGATAAATTAAAGAGAGATATATATATATATGTCAAGTCCTAATTTATGTATATTGTAGATTTTTTAATATTTGCAAAATTTAATACAAAAGTACATTGAAATATCAATGAAAAATATATATTAAAATACCATTTCATTCATTTGTAATTTCTGATATATTACATTTGTACATTTATATGTATTACTATTTCATATAATACTAGATATAATATAAAATGTAATAATATAATATTAATATATAAGTGTATATTTTGTATTATTCACACACAAATATATTATATATACATTATACATACAATATATAGAGATATAAATATATTATCAGAGTTTAATTCAAATTACTTTGATATCACATAATTATTGAATATTACAGATATTAAATTTATATTTTAATAGATACAAACTTGCATATATAAGAGATTATACATACAACAAACGATACACTTTTAGTCTTATTTCTCGATATACATTTTTTAAGTGTAGGCACTATGTAGATTGTAAATTTGAAACTTGCAATCACAAAAGTTGATATTTATTAAAGAAAGATTAACAATTTGCATAACGATATCCGTTTGTTCTTAACTATTTTCATTAATCATTTAAAATTTGTTTTTTTATAATGGTAACTTATATATTTGTGATTCTATTTTAAATGCAATACATTTATATGTATATGAAAACATATATATATATATAAATGTATTACATTTAAAATAGAATCTTTTAGTAGATTAAAGCAAAAAAAGTTTAACGTTTATAAGCAGTGTTAGTCGTATTTTAGAGCATGCACAATTATGTATATATACATATATAAACTTTCATATAAAATATGATAAAAAATATACATTAGCTGAGAACGAACCTTGATATCAATCGTTTCGATTTCAGCTGATGTATTTTATTAAATTAAAAGACTCAGATCTTATTCCTATAATTCTATATAAATTATACAAAATAAGATTGCACTTGTGTGATTACAACAGTATCGTTGGTGATGTTAGGCTGCCTTATTTTGGTCAGCCAAGTGTTATGTAGAATACTTAATACCTTTCGAATAAGAAAATGTACAGCTCATTCCCATTGAACCGAAGCATGTTTTTTCCTTTCAGTTTACCTGCCACTAAAACCAATACATCAAGCTCTATGAAATCCTATCCAAGTATATATTTAAACAGTAAAATTGTAATTAATTATGTTCTTACTCGTAGCGCAGGCTGTGTGCCACTAGCAGCAGCTTCCTGTTCCCGCTTTTCTAGTTCCATCGTCCGTCGCTGCTGTCTCTTGACAGACTCTATATCCTTTATGCCCCGTTGCTGTTGCTCGGCTATTCTTTTCTCAGCTGCTTCTGCCTGTTTTCTACGTATAGTTTCCTGAGGAGAAAAGAGAAAATAGGTTTATCCTTTTTAACCAAACTTTTTACACACAGTTTATTCTTTGTTATTTTTTTCTTCAATGTGGGAAGAAAAGAAAGAGGAAAGATGAATCGTGCAAGTTCAACTAAAAAGGACAGGTCTCACGTCAAAAATATTGTAATTTTATAACGCAACAGAAAAAAGGGAGAAATAATAATTTCCGAAAGAAATAATTTTGGGCGACCAAAATTTGTCAAGGAGAGAAACAAAAACAAAGATAAAAAGAATGTGTTATGACGATTTAACGATTTCGTTTATCACGCGGATGAAGGATTAACAATATTTATGTGCGCGTTTATAACCTATGCGGAAGACACACCCGATCAGGAGTGAGATCCTCGTATGATGACGATCCTTTGTAACAGGACGCGCAACAATTACCCATGTTGGATCGTTACCCGTGCAAAATGTACGTAATCGACACGAAAAACACCGTCAAATTGAATCAACAACGAGTGACGAGCGTATGACAGATCCAAGCAATGGGCAATGGCTGTCGTCAACAATCGTCGACGATCATTCGGTCATATGTATCATGCAGTATCGTCACTTGAGTCTCCTGGTACCAGGGTTGCCAGATAAACCCGAGCTGATATCGCCCCCTAGGAAGCTTTTCGTAGCCAAAAGTCGCTATTTTGTTGGTAAATTATCGCCAATAAAATCGCCAGATTCTAGTGAAATCTCGTTACAAAAATCGCCAGATTTTTGTGACTTTTCGCCAACAAAATCGCCAAAATCTTCGAACTTTTAACTAAAAAAAAAAAAAATAATAATAAGAGAAACAATAATCATTTCAATTATGCAACGAAACTTCATTTTTTGCATATATTTTATTTTACATATTTTCATAAGTATTATATTATTTTCAATCTTTCACAATAAACTTTTTTCAATCTTTGACAATAAAATAAACACATTGTGCGAGTTCTTATACTCGTTTTTCAAAATTTAACATTGGTAAATTATTGTATAATTACATTATATAAGTATCTTTGGTAATCTTTTTAAACGAAATGCACATTACGTGATTAATTTGCACACAACCACATGAGTTTTATAATAATTATCCCAGCAAACACAAAGTTACATGTAACGTACCCGTTGATTGTAATTTCTCACAACAATATAACTGTAATATAACACACATGTTCTCACACTCATCCGCGAAATTTCGATGTTTACTAAAAAATCAGCAGCCACCAAGCGCATCAGAAAATTTCCCAGTATTTGGAGACGAAAGAGACGAAACAGAAAGAAATCGCCAAAGACGCCAACCTAGTCGCCAAGAAAGTCGCCAGTCGCTAAATTCGAAAATAAAGTCGCCCGACCAAGTCAAAAATCGCCAATTTAGCGATAAATCGCCACATCTGGCAACATTGCCTGGTACGCGTAAAGAAGTGAACTCTATGCGACATGCATTATAATTTGATAGAATTTATTCGTGATCTGTAGCAAGGAAACAATCTTACGTTTCTTAATATGAAATGAAAACAAATTAAATCGAACAAATGAAATGAAAACTTTTATATAAAAATGAAATATGTATTTTCTATACTTAATTATTATATGTGGCTTAAATTTGAAATAAATTGCAACAAGAAAAGTGTCTTATATTTCTTAATGCGAAATAAAAATAAATTAAACAAAATAAAAAAAAGAAAGGAAAAATTTTTTGTATAAAAATTTGTTTCTTATTTATTTATAGGAAACAACGTTTTCTATAAATTATTTCACAGTCTTCAAATTTGCGTTAATCTGCGATATGGAACAAGAAAGAAGTTATGCGTTTTATATGTGTATTTTTTAATACACAAAATATAAGATTAAACATAATAAAGACTTTTATGTAAAAGTTAAAAATTATTTCTTATTTATATTACCCCAACTAACGTTAAATATTCACAGAAAGTTCGATTCGTATTACTAATGTACCGAATGTTCCGGAACAATAAAAGAATCGGCACAGAATGTGCAAATGTTGATGAAATGTTCAGAATATTGTGTACATTTCACGAAAATCGCTAGCGAGCGAGCAGTACACATCTCCGTCGACAGAGGGCCGCGGCGACGAGCATTTACTCGTAAACTTGGTGGAATTATACAAGATGAGTCATTGCGCATAATGGCGGTAAAAAGTGGGGGACATATCTTGTCAACCAATCACAAAGGACCCATTTTATGCGGAATTTAAATGTCACAGAAGATGATTAACAAAACACAGTATTAGAAGTTAATATATATTCTATTATATATTCTATTATTATATTATATTATATCTCTCCGTAACAGCACAGACTTCCAAGGGATGTCCTGAGGATGTCTAGAGGATGTCCATATGTCCTTTGAACAGCGTCCTAAGGACATCCCCAGGATAAAGTGTGCTATTAGGGATTATATTATACTACATTACATATATTCTAAACAAAACCTTCATATATATTCGTTTATTATTTAAGTTTTACACGATAGTCGTAATCAATCGTAATAACACCGCACGCAGTGCTCTGAAACAATAAACACAGCCATATTGGATTTTATTCGAATGGGCCTCCCATGATTGGCTGCCCACTCCCAATTACTTTCAGGCTACTGCGCATCTACGGGAACGACTCACCTTGTATAATTCCACCATACTCATAAACAAGAATCATCTAGGAAAGAATATAAGGAGCACAGCACTTCATCCGTGAAGTGAGCCTCTAAATTGGGCTCCAAGGTGAAAACACAATATGTCTATCAAAGTAAAATTTTGTTCAAAGACTGATTCACGGACCTGCTACTACTTGACCTGGAATTTTTGGAAAAACTAAAATTTTGCGGAATATATATGGAATATATATAGAACATTCTCGGAATATGTAACGATATACAAATGAAATTTTTAACCTACATTTGAATATTTTTTTTACATAAATATTCGGAATATTTTGGAGTATTCTTGTTTTTTTGGGATTTTATGAATATTTGAAGAATATTTATTGTTTACTGGATTTTTAAATTCGTATAATAATTGGCGACAAGAAAAAAGATTGTACGTCATGCGCTTTTAAATAAAAAAAAAATAAAACACAAAATAAAGAAAATAAAAACATCTTACTAAAATAAAATTTGTTTCTTACTTGTCGTATATTGTTTAAAAAAAAAAATATTTTAATCACAAATAATATCTCTTAATATTTTAATAACTCAAATCCGAGTCACATCGATGATCGATCATATTATTAATGTTCTCTAATTAATTCTGATATAAAAATTTATCCACATTTGTAGCTACATAGCTTCGCGATAATAATTCGAACAATTGCTGTGGTAAGTTTTATCAAATCTTATCAAATAACTTGTTTCGGCTGTTTATCAGGAACGGCAAGTAGTACTCCACTGTATCTACGCAATATATGTTTTATATATATATAATAACACGCGAAGACTTAATATGATTTATCTCGGAAAATGGAGTTTAGACTGTATGTCTCAAGAACAAGTAAGGCAAGGAAACGAGAGGATCCGATTATTTCGTCGGCAATTATATGAGTCCGGGACGCGAGAGTTGAACTGCGTCTACGCGAGTCTCCTCCGTTTACGCATTTGATGCTAATATCCGCTCTGAAAACTCTGTCTCGCCGACCGATAACTCCGACAGCGAGCAAATTGAATTTTCTCGTTACTTGTATATTATTAGCGCTATCATAGCGCGTATTCTACTCTCCGCCTCTACGGGCGAATTGAGTTTCAAGTGTGCCCTCGCGCCCGACTTTGCGAAAGTGTGCTCGCGGACGTGTCAATTTGCTCGCGAACCAACTGGATTTTGTTACCACTGACCGTAAAAGCGACTCAATTTTTCCACAGTGCAAAATTGGGTTTAAAATAAAAATCGTGGCTCTCTGCAGAATTTGACTTGAAAAAAAACACCAAATTTCCAGGAGATTTGATAATCGTTGCATAAAATTAACACGCTACAATATTGCCTGTATTTTCACAATTTTTCTATATTTTTATCTTTAGATATACGAAAATATATAACGAAATATATGTTAAATATATATATTATATGTGTTAAATATAATAAAAATATATTATATATTATAAATATAATTTGTTAAAATATTTACTATGAAAAAATATTTATAATAACGTAATTAAATTCTTTACAGTACCTTGATGATTATAATTCAGATTATAAGAAAAGAGAATCTAAAATAAATTTGAAGTGGATCATCTTGGTTTAAATTTTGATAGATACACGCGCTTTCAAACGTTTTCTTATTTGAAAAGTCTTTTCTAAATTTTTCTAACTAATTGAAGGCAATGTAATCTTATTGTTAGATAGAACACCTGCACTTTTAGCGCTCTAATTTGAAGCGAACGTACAGAACGAAGCCTCAATGTACATCGGCTTTCCGCTATTCATGACGATACGTATGTCTTCTCTTATTAATGTTGGCGCAGCTGGCGCGCGAACATCGCGGCACGACCGACAGAATTGGGAAAATTAATTGTCGTCTTCTAGAAACGGCGTTCCATCTCTTCTCCGGTAGAGAAGGGACCGCGAGTTATCGAGCAGCGTTGCACGTTGTTTGCGCTCGCGATTAATCAACGTTCCCGACCGCTCCGATATCAGACCTCAGGGGGATCCAATTCGTTCGGTCGTTCTGCACCCACTTGGGACTCCACTTCGCAAAATAAAAACCTTTCCCGTTCGTTACTTGTTGAGCGCTAATGCGAAAATTCCGTTGTCTAAAGTTTTGAGAAACTCTTGAAAGTTCTTGAAACATATCTATGAATATCGAACCCCGCGGCGGAATATTGCTTTATTAATTTTGTGATAAACCACACCTGAAAATGTAGGTATTTCTGCTTTGCTTCGAAGTTTGAAATTGATAAAATGTTCTTTTTTTTTGCGTTTGTCGATAGAGGTTTATAATTTACTGGGAGAGATAATATCAATGTTGATCTGAAGTATATTAAGTATATAGCATAAAAAATTATAATATTGAATAAGAGTTTTATGTATATTATTTCATCAAAGAAATGATATCTATTAAATCACATTTCTTCAATATTTTTTAACACTATAAAATAAAAAAAATACTTTTTAATATTTTTATCTCTATCTGCATCTTTTTGATATAAGCAAAATTTAATTTTAAAATTTCTCCAAAGATAAAAAAAAGTTAAATCCGGTTCTCCTTTCTAAAATAATTGAGAAAACTATTTGGTAATGTAATAAAGACAGTTGAAAAGTAATTCAGAATGTTTCTACATTTTTTAAATGTCTAAAATAGTAAATAAAAAAAATTTGGGTTGAACAAAAAATCCAGATTGCAGATAGAGGGAGTAAACATATGATTGTATACTGAGAGAGAGAGAGAGAGAGAGAGAGAGAGAGAGAGAGTAGAGATAAGTGATATTTATTATTTTTCTTTATATTACTGATAAAAGATTTGTATTAATATATACAGGGTGTTTCCAAATTAAATCGCAAAACTTCGGGAGCGTGTAGAGGAGTAAAAAACTAAGAAAAAAA